TACAGTGTATATATAACATTTTTACATTTTTGACTACAAGTAAAGAATTCAACATTAAAGGTGTAGAGACTAGATATTTTCTACACACAAATACATACAAAGAAAAAATGATGACTATCCTCCTTATATCCACACGAACAGTTTGGATTCGTTATAACCTTGCATCTATATAAGTCATAATTTAAAAAAACAACTGTGCTTTAATTTTGTATGTAAAATTTTAAGATACATTATCCATATGATAGATACCTGAGAGGCTTGTCATTATTATTATTCAGTTTTCTTTTGAAAATTCCTATTGAGGTTATTTCCCTTATTTCATTACGAAATGAATTCCATTTTTGAATAGTATTAGGGACAAGTGACTTATTAAATGATTCAAGCCTACATTTTGGCAAGAAATAATTACTTGAATTACGAGTATTATAATTTGAAACAGTGTTTCTAACTACTGGAACAATATTTTTAGATAATCAGGAGCTAGGTTATTGTAGATTTTAAACGTTGTTCAAAGTTTAGCTTTATCCCTTCTTATTATGAGAGGTTCCCATCCTGTTTCAACATATAACGAGCTTCTTGGTGTTAATACTGACAGATCTGTCACAATTCTTGCAGCAGTCGGATAAACTTTTTCAAGTTTTTCAATATTTGCAAACGTACAGCCTGACCAAACTTCAGATGCATACTCAAGTTGTGGTCGAATAAAGCAAATGTAAATTTTGGATAAAGTATTTCTAGACACTAAAAATTTAAAATTTCTGAAAATTTACGTTAAGTTTCAATTTTGATATTTTAGTAAGCGTTATAGTGAACTACTAGTATATGACCTTTTTCGCATGAAAAAATTATAGTCCCATTGAAAACTCGTTAAATAAATGTGATTTTTTGGAACAAAACGTTAATTGAGAACAGCAATTTCGTTAATTTAATGAATATTGAATTCGTTTGATAATATTCTTAATGAAAGGAACTACTTATGTACAGTGCATTTATCAAAACATGAAGACTTTCTTTGTAAAGAATTATTGATTCTACATTCAAGTACTTTGAGGTTGTAAGATACCAAGGGTTTCATTTCAGCATTTATGTATATGAATTCATTGAAGATCATGTCTTCCAACAATCTGTAGGAATTCCAGTGTGCTCTAATTCTGATCCTTTATAAAGCAACATGTTTTTATATTCTTATGAAGCAGAAATTATTTAGAATTTTTTTTCAAGAAAAGCAGAAAACACAAGCTATGGGCTACAACTCCACATTCAGATATATCGAGACGCTTTAACTATCAACAATAGAAATCTCCATACATATTTCGACTCAATATATCCCGCTGAAATAAAAAAAAAAATGGCACATCGAAACATCGAAAATATTTTAGAATTTGCAAGGTGTTATCATAAAAAAGATGCAATGCAGTAAAAGCGGTGGTTTATAATTGCTCGATTCCTCGATCTAAAAGAAAGAAGACTAACGAGAAACATTCGTAGAATTTGATGATTATAACAACATCTTTGGTTATTTATTTCACAAAAATTAAATTGTCATATAAATTAAGGATCTCTCATGATTTGTAGTTGGAGATGATTTTTATCCAATACTATTCTTTAATACAGGAATAATGCCTTTGTTAATTAATATTTAAAAAATTGAAATTAAAAAAAATATCAAAATTTAAAGGATTAATTGTTTTTCATTTAAGTTAAATATTTCTTGCTGACCGATCCTGATTAAATAATGTTTAGTTTAAAAAACTCACAAGAGTTTAGCTTTGTGAAGTTTCACACACTCTATCTAAGGAGGAAGTAATTCAAACAATACCAAATCTTCACCATAACAATGACGGTATTTACTTTGGCCTATATGTGCGATTGTGACGCTTTTTTCTCGGAAGAAAGGCATTAAAACTGTTCCTCATAAGTATTTGCTAAGCTTAGAAAATTCAAAGAAAAAGAAATATATCTTGATAAGTGAGGTGACGGTAACCAACAATCGTTGAAAGCAATGCTTTAACCATCAGTACCATAGAAAAATTTAAAGAACCTTTTAAATTTTTTACAATTATTTGACACGCATGTGAAATATAAAATAAGTCTATTAAACACAGTGCCAGCTATATCTGTTTTTTTGTCTTCAGCTTTTGCAACTTTTGAAAAAGAAAAGATATGACTTTAATATGACACATATTTATTATGAAAGACTTTTGACCCTATGATATGAAGATTAACCTACTTTTCAAACATTTAATCGTTCCTTAAAACTTCTGATTAAGAAGAAATACGGCTTTTATATTTGACATGTGCATTACCTGTGACAAGATTCTTTTGAGCCTTTTTTTTTATGATTTTTGACCCCCTGACCTTGACTTTTATGTTTGATCTCATTTAAAAAAAAACAATTTTAACTTTGGTGATTATTTTATATGATAAATAATGGGGCGTCCATATTTGAAACAATATCTTATAAACTAGAGGTACTGTGAGCAATGAGCTCACTAAATGATACCCCCCGCCTCCCATAATGTCCATGTGTTGCTATATATTGTTTTACGGTAATGTGTAAAGAGGAATAACTCGTCCTATCAAATGTTTCCAGAAGTGACGTCATAGGTAAACATATAATGGCAATGTTCATGTTTTGCTATGGGAAATCTAAAATACGTGTCGAATAAAAAAAAGTAAAATTGGAGGTGCACAATGGCAATATGTAATAAAGATTCTGTGAAAGTTTCATTAAATTTCACTCAGGTTGTTTTAAGAGGAGTTGCGGAAAGAGATAAAGCGGAGGACGGACAGATCGGCAAATTATGACGGATGTGAAAGACGGAAATTCTGTTTATCCACATAACCTCCCACTTTTCAAGCGGGGGGTATAATAATACCATCCAATCCACTAAGACACCGAAAGCAGGGGACCACAGTTCTTAACATTTGTTTGGTACGGATTCAAAGAAAAAGATTTGAGTTATACTAAATCTCTTTACGAAGAGTACAATCACATCTGGATGTGATTTAGTCATTAGAAATCAATAAAATGAAATCAAAAGACAAATAAATGAAAAATAGAGTCATAGGTTCCTCAAGATAACCGGTATAAAACTGGAAAAAAAATTCCTTTAATAATATTGTAAAAATTGAATCCCTATTTTTTTTGCTTTAAATCTTATGAATTTTGCAAATTTAGCTTTCTTCAGGAGAAATAGTAATAATACATTTTTTTAAGTAAGGACAACTACATGTATTTCATTTTATAATAAAAGTAAGCATTTAGTAAAATTTAAAGAAAAAATGATTTTTCTTATTAAAGACCTAAGGCAACACACATTGAGGATTTTTCCCCGTAGAAAAGTAATTTAAAATCTTTATTTTGCAGGATACAGAGCTAGATTATTCCGAAGAAATTACAAACACTTTCTATTAATTAAGGAGCTGAAGGAATACATGAACAATCATTAAATTTGAATTCTTGAAAGAAAAAAAAAGACATACTCGTATGTATTCAAATTTGGAAATTTTTTTTAATTTTGAAATTTGGACTTTAGTTTGCTTTTTAAATGCAACTGTTGCAACCACTATTGAAATAACGACCACTATTGAAATAATTATATCAATAGTGGTTGAGAGTGCATTTCAATAGCAAACGTAGTTAATAATCACTATTGAAATACGACCACTATTGAAATATTTATTTCAATAGTGGGTAAGAGTGCATTTCAATATAATAACCACTATTGAAATACGACCACTATTGAAATATTTATTTCAATAGTGGGTAAGAGTGCATTTCAATATAATAACCATAGGTTTCAACTACTATTGATATACGAGCACTACTGAAATAATTATTTAATAGTGGGTGTTTTATAATTATTTGATGGGTCGTATTTCAATAGAAGTTAACTTTTCCAAGAATTGTTTTTGCTGAAAATTCGATACTTATTTAACATTACATAGAAAGTCCTGTTGATATCAACCTTTATGTTGAAGAATCATATAAATTTGTACAATAATTTGTCAATAAGAAGGAGTAGAAGATTGCCCAGAGTAAGCCAGACTCCTGTTTCCTATTTTTACTTGTCATATTTTATATACCTTTTGTGCATAATGTACACTGTCTGAAGAATTATATAATGTGTTGAATTATATAATGTGTCAAAAAATTTGTCAATAAGAACGAGTAGAAGGAGGAGAAGAAGGAGCTTGCCTAGAGTTAGAGTGATGCAGTTTCCATTTTTGTATTTTTAGAAACGATGCTAAATGTTACAGAATATTGCAAATAATGCATTTTAATAATATTCATGTATTTAAGCTAACATCCTGAGTAATTACCCTAGTACTTACATGTAGATATGTATGTTGCAAAATAAAATAAAAGGAGGGTTTAAAAAAAAAGATTTTTGTTATCAAAGTGTAGCTTTATCGTCATTGATTGCATGGAAAACACATGTTTGCATATTTTATTAGATTCTGATCAACAGAAATGATGTATCTTTTATATGAAGATTCTTTTTGCTGCGTAAAAACATTGAAATAACTGAAGATACATGTACACAAATAGATTGGTGAGATTAATAACATGATTTATCCGTTAAAACAAGCTTGAAATAAATTCGTCCTGTTTTGACTACAGTAACTATTAAAATGATGGACCCAAATGATACTAAGTCTTTGAAATTGACATGATTTACTATCCTCGAAACACTTCAAATTATATAACATACCCGTGCTTTGTTCTGGTTACGTAGTCATTTTACAGGTAGGTTGTAAATGATCATTTTTTTCAGGAAGAATTTTGTCGTAATGAATAAGCATGTTTAACATGTATGACACCTGCATTAGTCCATATTTTTTCTGTCATTTTTTACACATAGTTAAAGTCATTTCATTTTCTTTATTTAATACTTAAATCGGACATAACAAAACAATATCAATGCCACTATAATATTTCTTTGGTTTTAGGGTATTTTTAGAAACGTACCACGTGACTGCGTTTAATTGAACCAAACATTTATATAAAACAGGCATGAGATTGTTTTAACATTACCACTAAAGAGTGTTGCACTGAGAAGAATTGTAGGTAGGTGTCCTTTTGAACGTTTTATTTGAATTCACTATATTTTATATGTAAACTAAGTAGGTACATTTAAATCAGTAAACTTAGAATAACATAATCTGATCAATGCTTAAAATGCAAAGATTAGTTCAAAAGAACGGATGCAGTGAAAAATAGGTGTTTCACAAATGCATATTTTTTATTCAATATGTGAAATAATCATGAACGTTGATTTATATGTTGCGAGTTTATCTGTCTGCCCAATTAAGATAACTGAAATATTTTCTTTATGATACAATTTTATCTTTTTATACAAAATAATCGATCAAATTTATATATTTAGCACTTTGAAATATTTCTAGAAAAATAAAACCACACGGAATCAAGAAATGACAAGGATTTATATGAATTATATAAATTTATATATTTCAAAACTCAACAAAAAAAAAATGTCTATTTCTTTTCTCCTTTAATTTAATTTTCATTATTAATTGATAAATCAATTTTCAAAAGGGCTGTGGAAAAATCAATAGGACTGAACATTTTTTAATGTTCCATTCATTTGATATCCTCATTATTGTTCTAGACTTAGGAATTATCGTCTTAGATTCATTTTATTCTAAAACATTCCACGTGTAGAAAACTTGTAATTTTTATAAACTTGTAAACATTGATCAAATAAATAATTCAACAATGTTATTCAATTTCTCAGAGAGCTAATAATTGAGAAATTATTTGAAATAAAAAAGATACAACTTTACTGTCTAAATTTAGTTAATCGCAAGGATGTCAATTAATGATGAAGCCATTGTCACTCAACCGAAGGATGAAAAGAAAAGAAAACTGATATATTCACCTGTTGAAGGCAAACGAGATTGGAGTAGCGACCTGTATGGGTGTTTTCCTGACTTTTGTTCCTGTGAGTTTACAATTCAAAACTGAAAGCTGATATTTCAGAAAAAAGCACATTTTTCTACAGAGAAATAATACTTTTTAGAATAAAGTTGCACAGTACGTAGTTTTATTATGTGAATATTTAGGTTGCAGAGGATTTTGCTGCATACCCTGCATGCTGAGTGAAATAGCCAGCAGAACGGGGGAGTGGATCTGCTTTCCATTTTTTGTACCAGGCGGAGGAAATGTTTTGAGAACAAGAATTAGAACCATGGGAGGCATTCGGGTATTGCTTTTTATTCCAGTCATTTCTTTTTCTGATATTTTATATCAAACATTTTTCCCAAGAAATACAAGCATTTTTTCCCAAACTTGTAGGGTACTGCCTGTGATGATTGCGTAATGATGTGTTTTTGTGGACCTTGTGCTATATGGCAGATGGAAAGAGAGCTTGACAAAATGGGTGTGCCTAAAAAATGATTGCTACCCAGATTTATTTGAAGTTTGAAAACGATTTCATTGAAAAGCAATGACATTTGAAAATCTGTACTGTAAGGAATAACATAAGAAATTAATTATGCTATATTGGGAAATGAAGGTATTGTAAATTTTGTTTTAAACGAAATATGCTTTGTGTATTCATGAATAAACGTCTACAAAAGTGTTGCCTTCAAAATTATATAGTTGGCCTCATTGCAAAATAAACGGAGGACATAAATGTGTTTTCTTCTTCCGATTTGTATTGTTTGTATTGCTTCAGTAGACTTTCGATTCTTTAAGGAAAATTATAGTTAATTATGCGGAAAAAAAAAAAAGGATGGTGGTTAAACAATGGGCCAAAACCATTTTATATTTGAATATATATTTAGAAGGCACACAATTCATTTTTTTTAATCAAAGTAATAATCATTTGGGAATCTCCAAATCTTTTAATGTCAGTTGTTTATGAATAAAAGTAAAAAAAAAAAAAGGTGTTGTAAAAAATTTTGCACCAAAACCCTTACCTATTGCAAGATAACTTTGGTTTGTTTGATGAATCAATTTAATTTTTGTATTGTTTCTGTTTTCATATAAGTTTCAGCTTTTTAAAATGAACATATTTTTTAGAAGCACACAATTTTTTCCAATATATTTGGAAATTCCAAATCTTTAGTTCTCAGATGTTTTTGACAAAAAAGTTACAACCGGGGATCATGATTTGAACAATTTAGAATGAACAATGCTTCAGGATGCTTCCATATAAATTTCAGTTTTCAAACAATGGTTTATTAAATGACTTTTTACTGGTCTTACCCTATTTTAAGCTGGGCTTTGCTGAAAGCAAAGTCCTGGCTATAGGCATCCTGATCAGCTGTCTTACTATAAATAGCACTGTATACAAAAACCAAACAGCGTCAAAGCAGACACTTCCGATAAACAAAATAATCCCATTGCGAGACGATGTTCAAACAAATATTTTTAACGTCCCAATCGTTGGAAAAGTTAGGTTTTAATATTTTTGCTTGAGAATTAAAGTTAAAAAGAAATTAGATAGTTGTTTTATTGGGATAAAATATAACAATTTGTTTATCTTTTGAATGCAGAAAGCGAACTATTTTCAATAAGCGCAGGCTTTTAATTACCTGTTGAAATTGTTCTAAAGTTACATATGATTTTTGTTCCCCAGGTATCTTAGACCTTATAATCTGTTTTGATTCTTAGCAATATTAAAAGTATAATGAATTGGAATTTGGAATTAATTTGCGTCAATGAGACAATGACAAGGGGTGTTTCTACATTATACATGTAATATTACCTTTGAAACTAAAGAATGTTATAAATACATGTACACAAGTTTGTTGCATTATTTTAACTATACTGAATGCCATAATTATATGGCATAAATATTAGTGATGAAAATATGAGAAGGGAAATATTATTCAGTAGACCACAATCAGGCTACTAGGAAGAAAATGTTGTTATAAATATACTACTGGTATATAATGTTTTAAATCATAAGTTACACAAACATTCGAAGTTTAAAAATCAATTGCCAAATGGAAAAAAATCTTTCCATATCTACTATTGAGATTATTTCATGATTAAAGCCCGGCTTTCAGTTCTTTCAAAATTTGATTCAACAAAGGTGATGATGTAATGGGGAGGCATAACCTTTATTCGCAAAAATATGTTCACTAGTATGTTTTGTACCAACGGTTTCAAAAGACCCATTATTTTGAAAAAAAAAAAATTGAAAGAAAAATTTATAAACAATTTGTATTCTAGGAAATAACATTAAGCATTAAAAAGTATTAATTCTTATTTTTAATATGAACTTTGATTTCATTCGCCATTCGACATCGCCATTTTCGCAATAATTCCAACTAAAAACGTAATATACTTATAGTTCCCTTTCTAAGAAAATTAATTCTTCAAAATCAAATGTCAGTTTTGAATACTTTTAATATCCCGAAGAACCAAAATGAATTTGAACTAATTGGATTCCAAAACTTCGTAAGAATCCTTACAAACAAAGATACATTGCGGGTTCCAGTAAATGTTCAACTTAGCCTTTTTCTTTACTCCTTACTAAAATATTGACAGCAGTGAAGAAAAACCTTCAAGAAAATACGTGATTATGCGGTATAAATATATTTAACAAGAACTGGTGTGAATCAGATTGAATTATTTTAAAATTCAATACTTTTCAAACTTTTTACGCAACCATATGCATTCCCTTTATTTCGATAATTGAACATTTTAAAAGTCATAGAAGCTTTTGATATTTTGATAGCTATTTTTTAATAAAAATGGAATCGATATTAGAAACTTGCTAAATGGTCATTGGTCATTTGCAAAATTATTTTGTTAAATTCAATTCATGATTACTCACATAATTTCTAAGTAAAAAGAAGTTGACATTAAAAAGATGCATTTTGAGTTTCTAAAAAACAATATCTATTATAAAAACCGTTTTGGATACTTTATATGAACTTTGATATTGAATATACGTTATCTCCATATCCTTCATTATATCATAATCCAAAAGAGTGGGATCGTGAAATTTTAAAACGAAGAAAAAAACAAATAATTCGAAGTTTAAAGAAGATAAATTAAAAAAAATCTTTCAGTTGCATGGTATACTTTATTAGGGTACATTGTGAAAAATCGGGATCGTTAACAACAGTTAAGGTAACAAACAACTGTGATTACAAAATAATTTCATAAGAAATTCTTTTTCTGCACAGCTGACGAATTGACAACGTCTTATAGATTGTTTTAGTTGACGAATTGAAACAGTTTATTGTTTTCGATAAATTCAATGCTTCAAAAAAATTATTTTTATACAAGTCAGTTTAACATGGCCTTCTAATTTTATTTTTCGGAGAACTTCAGTTAAATACTAAATACAGATTATTTGGAATCTTTTCAAGGCGAAAGCTTATCTACTTCCCTAGCCTTTTCGAAGAAATAAACTCAATACTTTCAGAAAAACCCACCCCAAATACCTTGTTAAAACGACAAAGAAATATATACGCATTGCGACCAAAACCACAAATTTGTTAAAAATATTTCCAGAATTTGACAGTACAAAAAGGCTTCCAAGTAATGTGACTTGTATTGTAACCAAAACTGGAATTCCAAAGAGACAGACCTAATATCCATGACATTATTTCATTGAAATTTATTTATATATACAAACCTTATACGACTGCTCTTATTTTTGTAAACTCCATGCATACAATTGTAAAATCAGTTATCTACATATTTTTATTTCTTTATAAAATTTATTACAAAAATTAAACAAAATGTAAGAACAATAAAAGATCATTTCAAATAATATTGTTATGGATAAAACCTATCGGTAAAATTAATCTAAATGTTGAAAAAAAGGTCATAGCTATTCCGCTTCATCAGATATAAGAAAAACATGTCCTCTAATATAGAAACACAATGAGTAATCGAGGAAAATCAACAAATTGCGCATGCCAGAAGATATGGAAGATTTCATTAAACTACTAACATACTAATTGTCAATCAAAAACTCAATATTTTTCAATTAACAACTTCAGAATGATTTTTAAAGAAATAAATTTGTAGAGAACGAATGAAAAATTACTGGATCTTATTTTTTTCTGTGAGGCTGTGAAGATAGGCAATCCAAAGTTTTTATGACGTCAAAAACCTGGTATTTATTTTGTTGTGAGAAATAATTGTCAAATTTTTTCAAAAGATAAAAGTTTATATGCTTATAAATTATATTCTCTTTTCTGTATTTCAGACGGTCTATAATCCATTACACTTCTTTACCCTTAACTTTTCCCTTCTGGAAAAAAAGGATGCCTGATTAAAACCATTTTTGTTACCCTTTACTCTATAGGCATATTTCGAAGAATTCAATTCTTAATTTTAAAGATAAATGAAAGTAGTTTGGTGGTCTAATTGTAGCCTTTTAAATTCGTTTCTATAGTGTTATTTACTCCAACCAACCAGTAAACAGGAGACTTGAATTCCTTAAATTGTAAAATATGCCTGTTTTGTATGCATCTTATGTTTTTCTCACGAAGCGTGGTTCTTGGCAAAAAAAATTAAAAAGTGAAACGTTGAAAGAGATTGTGAGACTAAAAACATGATAAAAAAAATGCCTTTGTTTATTGAACTAGATAATTATCCCTGACATTCATGTCATTGCTGGTGTTAACATATCAGTTTACATCTAAATATACTATCAATACTGTACTTTAAGGCACATTTAAATTGCTCATAACCGAACGTTCATTTTTATAACTTCGACATAAAAAATTATAGAATTCAATTTTCATTTTAAACTAAGTAGTTGTTTCTTTGACAATAATATGCAACATGAATGCAATGTTAAGCAGACAAAAATGTCACAGCTTCCTGTACAATATCTTTTCCCTCCATATCTTTAGTTTTTAACCATTTCATTGCTTTCTGTTCTATCATTTCCCACTCATTTTTTTGAGCTGAAAACTCTTTTCTTAAAAATGCAATTGCAAGAGCTGTGGCCCAAACATCAGTGTCCTGAAAGACAAATTCAATGTTTTAAATGTTTAAAAAAATTAACAAAAACTATTAAGTGGAAGTTATACAATTTTTAATATGAAGCGTTAGAAATCTGAAATGATAATTTTCTATCAACTATCAAAAATACGATAAAAACATAATACACAATAAGGTTTTCTGTTTATTTAATTTTTTTCCTGTTCAGATGCATAAGTTTATTACGTATATCTAAAAAAACATTTTAATCAAACCAAAAGCGTTAGTAATAGTATCTAGAATACGGGAAATTCAAGAAATCAAGAAAAATGACTTTGAGATACATAAACGCAATTTATTTTTAGAATCTTTATCAAAATATCTTTTTAGAAAAGACAATTACCTTGATCACACTTGAGTTTTTCATTTCATCCAATGGTTTATTAAGGATTTGTGATAGACAGTCATCTAGTGACCAGGATCCATTGAATTTCTGTCTTTCTATTAACTGTATCATTCGTGAAGGAGCTTCATCTGAACATGACATGTACAGGTTTTATTTTATTCTATTAACTTTGTTTTTTTTTAATTTTTGCATTGAAAATCATCGTTGAAAATTGATGCTTGATTTGTTCCGTTACATAAAATTTAAATGTACCTTTTCTTAAATCTAGATCTCTTCTTAAATCACTAAGACTTGCACAGTCTTCTTCACTTTCATCTGAAATGAAATTAGCATGAGCTTTTCTAAGGTTACTCACTGGATTGGTAAAGGAAATTTAAATATTGTTTTTATCATTAACCTGGATCTCAAAATAAAATATATATCATGCCTTAAACGTTGTTTCAGCATAGCAGTTACTATGGAAAGATTAACTTCATTTCAGGTAAATTGTTGATATATTGAAGTTGTTTGTTTAAAAAGCAGTTGTCAATTCTTAAGATCTATTTGGCAGTCTTTATTATTGTCCTTACTCTAGGAGCTGATAAAAAGAAGGCGTCTTTGTGCTTGGTTTATATGCTCAGCAAATAAATATACCTTGAAAATCATCTGAAAAGCTTCCAGAACACATGGTGGCGTCCACTTGCGCGGCTCGCATTGAAAGATCTCCTAAAAAATAAAAAGGATGCTTTAAATCTCATCGTTTACTTTTGAAAAACTTATTTTTACAGGTTGACGGCTTTCTTTGTCATTTAAACCTGCGTAATGTACGGAGGTTCGGATGTACGATAGAAAACAAAACATAAACAGTGGTTAAGGTTAGGGTATTAAAGACACATACAGTATTTATCAACACAAGATATAATTGGTGGTAGAATAAAATGACTTAAAATATCTTATTCATGAAAAATAATGTCTCCTTTTATTTTCATTTTCTAAAGGAATTGATAAAGAAAAAATTCATTCTGAAAGGCAAACTTGGCAGTAGTTTGTCAACGTAGGAAGGGAGGGAGTTGAGGGTACGATTGCAACCGTTCCCTTCCTAGACAACGTTATATGGGCTCTGAAATTTCAACGGTTAAGATAAATATTTATAACGCAAAAGAGCTTCCGTATATTTTGAAGGTGTAAATGAAAGCCGTCGATTGTAAAATCCAGCGCTTTTCGCAAAAGTCCTATTGAAATGCATTGTTTTTTTCTCCTACTCAGCCTTTGAGTGTTAGGTAACCAAACTAAACATGTTAAGTGTATAGTTATGTTGAGCAATGGTGCCTCTTTCAAAATTGTGAATTTCATGGCTTGTGGTTTAAAACATGAAACAAATTCAATTGTTTTAAATTCTTTAGGAACGCTATAAGGCATGGGGGCCTCTTTTTAAATTTTGGAATAAAAATAATAGTCAAAGATTTATGCTTGATTTTTTGTATCTTTTTTTAAAAATCTAGACAACTTAATAAATCACTAAGACTTGCACAGTCTTCATCAATTTCATCTTAAATAAAATTAGCATGAGCTGCATGTATAAGGCTTCTCGCTGATTTGTACAGGAAATTCAATATTATTTCTCATTGTACTTGCAATCTTTTTAATAATCTTATACTCAAGAAACAGTTAAAAAGGTGTTTTACATATAAGTATGCTCAGCAAATAAATATACCTGGTAAATTATTTGAAATGCTTTGAACACAGACTTGCGCATACATGAAGAAACAAATTAAAATTTGGATGCTTTAAATCTTATACTGAAAAAAAAAAGATGTTTTAATCTAATCATATATTTCAAACCGCCGTTGTTTTTAATATATTTCATTTTGAAAATATATATAACAGTGGTTAACTTCATCAAGTATTAGACATTTACAGGTTTTAACGCAAGAACATAATTTGATATTATATAAAATGACTTAAAATATCTTTTTCATGAAAATTATTGTCTCCTTTTATTTTCATTTTCTAATGGAATTGATAAAGAAAAAAATCCATTCTGAAAGGAAAACTTGGTAGTAGTTGTCAACATAGGAAGGGAGCAAGTTGAAGCTAGGATTGCAACCGTTCCCTTCCTAGACACTGTTATATGGGCCTTGAAATTACAACTGTTAAGATATAAATTAATAACGCAAAAAAAGCTTCGTATATTTTAAAAGTGTAAAAGAAAGCCATCGATTGTAAAAGCCAGCACTTTTTGCACATGTCCTATTGAAATGCATTGTTTTTTCTCCGGTATTAGGTAACCAAACTGAACATGTTAAAAGTGTACTGCTATGTTGAGCAATGGTGCCTCTTTCAAAATTGTGAATTTCATGGCTTATGGTTTAAAACATGAACCAAATTCAATTGTTTGAAATTTTTCAGGTACCCTATAAGGCATGGGGGCCTCTTTTCAATTTTCCTAGTGAAAATAATCTTCAAAGATTGATGCTTAATTTTTGTATCTTTTTTTAGTCTAGAAATCTTCATAAATCATTCAGACTTGCACATCTTTCATCAATTTTATCTTATAAAATTAGCATAAGCTATAAGGCTTCTCACTGTATTGGAACGGGGAATTAAATATTATTTCTCATTGTACTTGCAATCTTTTTAATAATCTTATACTCAAGAAACAGTTAAAAAGGTGTTTTATATATAAGTATGCTCAGCAAATAAATATACCATGTAAATTATTTGAAATGCTTCCAGAATTCATACATGAAGAAACATATGACGATTGGGGTCCTGCAGACAGAGTAGACCGACCATCTGAAAGATAGAAAGGTGTTTTTAATCTAATCATATATTTCAAATCGTCGTTGTTTTTAATATATTTCATTTTAAAAGTATATATATGTTTCAGTATAACTTTTTCAAGTATTATTCATTTACAGGTTTTAACGATACATTTCCTTTTTATGCTCTTATTGATATTATATAAATATTGCATGTAGTTGAGTGTGCCATTGAAAATTTTCACCCCAAGAAAACCATTGTCAATCGAGTTGCAACCGAGGTTGACAATGGTTTTCGAGGGGTGAAAATTTTCAATGGCACACTCAACTACATGCAATATTTATTTTATTATACTGAATGTTTTACAAAAATACATATAACAGTGAACCGTGCGCGCATAAATTCTGCCCAGTCGCTATTTTTGGAATATCACCCGCCGTAAAGCAATGTTGACTGTTGCTACGCTGGAGGGCGTGGCTTCATTATTCGGCGGGTAATAGTATTTTTTAACAAATGTTTCTCGACCAATCAGATTCACCTAATTTACATGAAAGTATAATATAAACATATAGTGCTACTACACAAAAATAGGTAGAGATTCATTTGCCAATGTAAAAGAATTTAAACTCTATATGACCTTAAAATTAATGTGTCAAACTGGCAATAAAGAACCTCATTTTCACTAAATAGTTCCGAGAAAAATTTGAAGTAGATTCACCGTCTCCATTTGAAAAATTTCAAGATCAAACAATATACAATCAATCAGTAAACAAAAAGTGCTCTACCTTCATTTGATGTAAAAGCATTTAAACTCTTGAAGCAAATAAACTAATAAAGAATCTGATTTTCACTAAATATTGTACAGAGAAAAATGAGTAGATCCAGTTTGTGCAAGATATAAAGACATTAAAATAAGCACAATCAATTAATCATGTACATGTATGTAATGGAGTGAATCCAAGATTAATTGATCAGATTTCCTTTCAAATTAGAATTTTCTTGAAGATACGGAGGGGTCTCTCATAATACTTATCCATCATGTACATCTTTTAAGTAAATTAATTAACTTTAAATGTTAAACACTCCAGCTTCGACCCTTCTTAGTTCTATATACATGGTGCACAAAAAAAGAAAACAATAGCAAATAATAATATATGTGTCTAAAAAAGATGTCAATGTCAATCATTTTATAAATTAATGGCGGGATACTGAAGCTCTATTCATTAGGTGAATTATTTCTTCAATTTTCTCAAGATAAAATACTGTTGACTGTTCGCTTATTATACAAACTCACCAATAAATCCAGCACACTTCATTTCATATGGACGACCTGAAATACAGTAAAACTTTCTCTCTTTGCTACGGGTGTGTGAAGATTTCCTGGTTTTTGTTTTCTTTGATCTCGATGGTAAAAGACCTTTAAAAGACATTAATATGAAAGACATGACCTGTTTTTAAAAATTACAATGTTCATTTATCGAAAAGAATATATCAATTAAACATGCTTACTTGCACAAAAGTTCGCAAATCGTCTTCCTAATCCCGGCAAAGAGCTAGATTTTGTCATTGATAGGTCAAGGTCACTAAGTTTAAGAGAGGAATCATCATCCAATGATTCAGAGACCTCAGTTTTGCATGAGGAGTCCTTGTCTTGACCTCTTGATTGAGTTTCTCTTTTAGTTTTGTCGACGCCAACAAATGCCGTATATTTGCATGTTACATTAAGCGCTGTGCTAAGTGCTACCATTATGCCCTCTGCAATAAAACACAAGATCTTATATTTAAAGAAATAATGTTTAAAAAAAGTACTCTATATTTATCATCTGCAAAAGTAAGAAGATATTTTCTCATCAGTCATTCTAGATCATTTTGAACATTACTTCATATTAGCTTATTTGAAATTTAACCGTTTAACGATTAACAATCAATTCTTCCTTTTCAAATTTAACAATTTCTTCTCCATTTAAAGATTTTTCAAAATTATATACACAGGTCATACAGGTATATTGTACATCACTTGATTCAGGAACCACAAACTACCCGGTATCTCAACGCAGTCCCCAAAAAATTTATTGTGAAAAATATGGAGATGTCAAACAGTCATTATTGTCAAAAGTCCATAAAACAATTCAAACCAGGAGCAGTAATACACGGACTTCGGTCTAAATCATAAGAGATGGGATCAGGTGTGAGATCCCTTGCCGAACGGTCACGTCCGCCACGTGCTCATTGTCATGACCGGAAAATGTTGGAAAAATCCATCAACAATTCAGTGTGTAAATTATGGACTTGTGAAAAACGTCAAAAATTTGTAATTAACATTAGAAGATTGTAATTGATTGAATTTTTATGATCAGGATGAAAGTGGGATGCATAAAAATGGATTCATCCTTTTAATGTAAACAAATATATGTAAATCTTCTATGATCAATTTTTGTTATTTCTGTAAAATGAAACTATTTAAGGTCTTTGTAAACATATATAAAAAGTCTTTCTTAAAATCTATGCAAATTTTTAAGGTTAATTAAAAAGCGTATACGGTAGGTTTATTTCTAACATTTATTCCTGTTGGCAGATAAAAAAGAGAATAAAAACTTATTGTGATCAGAATTTCCATTGTTTCAACCGATTCTTTAGAGCTTGATAACTGTGCATCATACTCAAATTTTTATCATAAACATTTTATTGATTAGAAATGTCTTACTGTCACTTCTGTTAATCTCCATCTCTGATAATTTTGTCTTAGCAGCGAGTCTGTGCAGAGGATATGAATTGTCAGTAGTGTCTCTTGATTTGCTAAGATCAAAGTCTACCGAAAACTCAACTGATTTCTTCCCAGCTTTCCCAACCATTTTCAAAGAAGTTCCACAAGAGTAATCCTGTCATAAATGAATATAAATATTATAATAATTTTTTTAATCAACAGCACTATTCAAAAAGTTGTTTTAGAACTTTAATAAAAAATGCATCGTATTATAATTAAGGTGTACACAAAGTTTACCCAGTTAATTTTCAACATAAGGTACCTGCTATTTTTCTCTAAAAATAAAGGCAATTTACAGAATTCATTTTATATATTGAGAAAAGATGCTCATATACATGTAATGCATCAATTGCTTTATCTTGGCGGATCAAAACCCTTTAAGGCTTTGATCGGTGGCGAATATCGACGCATCTTTGACAATCTTTAGGTCTAAAATGCGCATTCTGTTCACTGTACATTTTTGCACCATGTGTACCTCGTTGCATAATGTTGTGAACTTTTGTCAGTAATGCTATGTTTTGACATTTTTTGGTTGCTTCGCCATATCTTTTTTTTTTTAAATTAATGGCTACTGAAATTCCAACCTTGCGTTTTCATTTGTGTCAAACAGCACCGCAATATCAGGTACATGTATCCATAAATAATGTTTAAAAGAATACTTTTACAAATCTCTAAAAAAAAAAATTGTGTATTTAACAGTTGTTTTCTGTTTATGCTATTTTATATAAAAGGCAGATCACACTAACTGTGTAAAACTAGCATAAGAATAGAACTCTTCATTTAGCAGTGTTTATACCCTTCTTCATAAAGTTCTGGTCCTTAAATGTACACATTTATTTACCTCTGGTATCTCTCCTGAAATTATTGCATACAAAATGAGTTTTTCTCCTTGGAAAACACCGGAGACTTCTTCTGGGGAGTTGATGACAGTGCAACATTTTGGAAGGCTCCAAGATAACGACACATCGGTAAGTGCACTTTGAAGGCTGCATTTCAGAGCAGACATAATCTATAACATGAAATAAAGATATTCAAAAACATTTGCCCAATAATAGATAAGTGATTGTATTTAATATAGCTTATGTATGGAATTTCATTGAGTCTCAGGTATGTTTTTTCAATGTTTTAGGTCACTAAAATATACAAAGTATAAAACAGCATAGGTTTGAGGCATTTTTGATGTTATTTGATACTCAGTCAGGAAGGATAACTCTTAATATTATGCTTTAATTTTTAAACAGTAAATTACATCAACATTTAGCTGAAGCTGAATGCCTCTTGTAAGCCTCTCTTACCTTAGACTGCAGTCTTTCATTATCTCTTACAAAAGTTGCCTTTCCCTGACTTGCTCTTGCCACCTTTGTTACAAGATCTGACGAGCAACCGTATCCGATTCCAAAGGTAAACACCCTGCCAATTTACATATTATTTCTTAAAGGTGAAAGTTGTTTAATCATTGGAAAAGATAAAATCAATTTTTATATAATCCATTTTAATATAGTCTTGTTAATTTAGGTTATTCTTATAATATTGTATTGTCAAGAAATATAATTTCAAAGTCAGTGAATTCCCAATTTTCTTGAAGTTTGATGGATTGCATCACTAAGCATGTTTAGAAATGAACATTTGTAAAATATTCATTATCAAAATACCTTGTATTCTTCTGTCTTCTCACCAGGTCCACAATTTTTGAAACATTGCTAACTTCTCCATCTGTTAGCAAAAATATCTAAAAATAAATCGAAAGATTAATTTTTAAATTTTTTTTTTCTTGTATCTCTGCTGATTTTCACTGTATAAAAATTTGGTAGTAAAATGTGATTTATTTCCTAGAAATCACTGTGAATGAACTAATCCCCTTGTGTCGGTCAATAAGCTAATCCCTGCTTCGGAAGCTAATTCCTGGTTATCCGTAATACTCTGGATTTTACTTTTGTATCGGTATAATATGTTATTGGACTAATCCCCGTGCGTTACTCAAGTGAGCTAATCCCCGTTCCGAAAGCTAATTCCCCGTCATTCGTAATCCACTTTTTTTTACTTTTGTATCGGTATAATAAAACAATTAAAAAGTATATCATTGAGTGAGTTAGCAAAATTCCAATTCCCCTCGGGACCAACTTTTTCCCTAGGCTAAGCCTTGGGGAAATAATCCTTGGCTTTCCCTTAATAATATATTTTAACTCCTTTATGATTAATAACTGTACATGAACATACACGATTTATCCATCGTAAAGACGCGTACTTTTTAAATAAACATCAACTATTGAATAATTACAACACAAAGGTTGGGAACCCGCGTTTCTTAGACAGGAAAAGGTTGTGTTTAGAAAAAAGGAGCAGTCTTGCTGATCAATTAAAACAGCATATATACACATATTCAGGATATCACTTGATAATTAGCATACCTGTCTTGCATACGAATTTATTGGTTTAGTTCTGAACACCTCCTCGAGAGGCTTATAAATCTCTGTTCCTCCCATATCTGCGTCCATTTTCTTTTGCAGATTTAAGGCTTCCTCTAGGTTCTCCTCATTGTATTGCTGACTCCTAAAAACACATACATGTAGCAAATTATCTGCACTGTGCTAAAACTATTACATAAGCATCTCATTAAAAGGTTTATGAATCTTAAAATATCTATTTTTAGTTATTCGTAATTCCTCTTTTATAGAACTATAAATTTTAATTTAAAATTTTCATACTTTGGAAATAAAAATGAAAAAACGGAACCAAAACTGACGACGTTAAACAAACAGTCAACAGGGAGAGACTTCAAGAGGAGCAATAAGGCTTCCTTTGCTTTATTTATACGATCCCCGTGCATTGAGCCTGTCGAAAGAAAAAGTGACAAGAACATAGTCAAGAGTTTTAAATCATGCTAAAGTAGCCAATAGAAATTATCATAAATTTTGTTTTACGGATACATTAATATTGTTATACACTATATAAAGACAGTGTTTTTCTAAGAAGATTCAAAATTATTTTTCTCCAATGCCGAAATTGCAATGAATTTCAGCTTTCTGTAATGTTTTCATGTCCACTCACCTGATCGATCAATTATAAAGACAAATTCACAGGGTATTTCTGTTTCTATGTCTTTGAATTCTGGTGAGAAATTTACCATCATAACATCTGATGACATAAATGCATCTGCGAATAATAAAGATTATAATACACATTTAATCAATAGCATAGGGAGTAGTTTTTCAAAGTTATATTTAAAAATCTTTTTCATTTGCTTTTTATGCAAACGTAATCGGAAAAATTATTATTAGAAAAATCATATTTTTATCTTGAATATTTTTAACGATCTGCATTTAATATTTTAAACTTATGTACATGTTTACTGTTTATTTCAGATACATGTTTACTGTATATTTCTATGCGAATTATTTTCAAAATCTTTTATTGTAGGATTTAATTAACTCTGCACTTTTGAATTTAATTAAGAGTCCCAACAGATATAATGTAGAATTTATTTTTTTCAGCCAAAGGTAAATGATACATATAACATGCCATTATAGTGTAAATAATATTTTGACCATTGAATTCGAACTTGATAACACATATATATTTAACTGTAATGTATAGAAATTTTAGTTTGTTTCATAAAATTATACATGTATTCAAATATGATCAACGGACAAATAACATGAATATATAACAAAGGGGAAAAATGAATGAAGTTCTCACTTTGTTCATCTTTGTTGCCCTTCTCAATAATTGCTCTTGGACTGTTAAATCCTTTGTAGTATAAGAGTAATAAAAAGTCAGAACCATGCTTTAGTTGTTTTGTTGATGTCATCTGTGTATAAAAAGTGTTCATTGCATTGGTTTTTTTTTTCGATAATAGTTTCCTTAACATTTTCTTCTTTTTATTCACATTTATCTTTGATCTCAATATAATCATTTTATCAATTTAGGTAAACTTATCCATTAGTATTTATATATCTTTACATTTTGGAGCATTAAAAAATAAGCATAAACGATACCGCTTTCTCCATTGCTCCAGAGAACACGTCGAATTCCAGTTTGTTTTCAAACACTTTCATATTTTCCCCTCCAGCAATTTCAGCATTTAATGTAATTGAAAAATCGGAAAAATATGCTACATCTACATCAGACTGAAATATAGTCGTCTCTTGGTCTTCTTCCTGCGATTCCTCTCCATTTGATCCTTCTGCTGGTGCTGGAATAAAATGCACTCAAATAATAAATCATTATCAACTAACAAGTTAATGAATATCCACTTCCTCTTTTTTATGAACAATTTCTAAAACGAGTTAAGTTATTGACAAACAAGTTGATGAAAAAAGAATATCAGCTGCGTCGTTTAAAGTCACCATTTCGTAAGTTCTAAAATCGATTCATTGACCTTGTCAGCATAAACAATCTCTCATTAAGACTTAATGCAGACTGACGTTTTTTTATTCTAATTGTTAGGCCATGATTTACGCGCTGAATTGGTCAACGGATTTTCCCGTAATTTCGTGATCATGATAAGGAGCACATAGCGGACCTGACAGGTCTGCAGGGGACGTTCACTCCTCCATGGCACCTGATCCCATTTCTTATATTTTAGAGGTCCGTTTCAGTTCAGCTCCAAAATTTGAATTTTGTTCGTTTTCCCAAATATATATGCAATAATACTTTGACAGTGACCTTATGTAAGCATTTTCAACGAACAAGATAAATTCTTAAAATCTTACTACAGTCAGGTATATATCGAGGATTGAGGACAGATGGAAGCGTAAAGGTTCCGGTTTGATCAGCGTTTAACTCCAGTTCTTGCACATAAGCAAACGTCAGCTTGGCCGCTGCCTTTGCAGGAAGGTTTCCAAGTCTTAAACGGAAGACGTCACCAGCCTCGTCATCTTCCGCCATATACATGGCGGTGTGACCCGAACTGACCGCATCTTTGTATATCATTATAGCCTTTAATGGAAAAAATTAATACAGTCAAACCTTGTTATCTCAAAATTGATTGGATAATTATCCGATTATTAGAGATTGGGTAAAACATTTATAAGAATAACGGGTAAAAGTTTTGACTTCCATATCATTTCGACATATCTATAATATTCGAGATATAAGTGTTTGAGATACCGAAGTTCAACTGTATATTCAATGAAAATATGATAAATAAATGATCAATGTAAAATGAAACAATATTGTTTGTCATAGGTTCGAGAACATGTAAGTACTGTTTGAGATTGTCACATTAGGCACATTAAGAATACTCAATATTTTGCCAAGTTCGAGTTACTACCTGTGATTTGTCGCAGACATCTGCTACTATAGTCCTCCCGTCTATCTCGGCCTCAAACTTATAGACTGCTGAGTCTGTGTTCAATGGAAAAACAAACTCTGTCTCCGTGTTATTGTCGCCGTCGTTAAAGTAATGAAGCACAGACTGAACGTTAGCAATGAACCCATGGATCGAAACTTGGATGTCAATTGCTTTTAGTGGAACTACAAAATAATAAACTTAAATAACTATTGAAAAAAGAAGAAAAGCTAATTGTAAATAAGTCATCATGGTGAAATAACGCCATACCACTTCGCGACGAATTGCGATAGCCGTGGTTCTCCTTGAAGGACACTAAGCCAAACATGCTGACAACAATACTTTATATTAGCTGATCCCTGGAATAAATGTTAGAGATATCATTCCATTTGATGTATTAAAAATAATCGATACAGAATATTACAAGATAAAAAAAAATGTTTGATACGAATGTACTAGTATGTTACAATTGGTGTACACTATCTAACTTAACAAAGATAAAAGTAAAAAAAAAAAAAAACTGCGTAGAGCTGAGGTTTCAAATATATAATATATAAAAGAATCTGATGCACAACATCGTGTAAACTAATATCAAATTTTATAAAAACTAGTAATAAGTAACAAACCTGTTTAATGTTTGCCTGCTGTGTTTTCTCTGTTTTTCTAAGTTTATAGAATCTAAAAAAGTAAACACACAGAACACAAATATTGTTTTTTTTAAATTCTTTTCCTTAAAAAAAACGATGTAGAGCTGAAGTATCAAATATAAAAGAATCTGATGTACAAAACAAAATTAAATCAATCAACTAATAACGTAATAATTAATAAGCAAACAGAATCAATCTACACTAAGCCCCAGTAAATATTTTGTTATATCATTTTAGTAATTTTTTGTGAAAGTCTTAGTCTGTTTAGGAAATGCATGACTGTACAGTTTTATTAACTGTTTCTAATAGAAAATAAATGCATTTACTGTTTTTAATTTATGTATTTATTGAATTTTCATAAGATGCATATCTGACAAAGTCGTGCAATATTATGGTTTATGGCAAAAGAATATGTTAAATGTAAGCCCTTAAATATATCAAAGTATATTTTTTTTTGTTTTATCAGTAATTAAGTCTATTCTTAAAACAGCAAGTAATAAATATGAATGCATTTAAATTTATACATGCATATGGTTTATGAAAGATAGAAATTCCTGAATTCATAGATTTACTGAACGTTTACACTGTCTTTACAGGCATTTATATATAATACGTTATACAATGCATATATTTGAGTTTATGTTGATTTAATACAAAACATACCGTAAATGTTTGATCCGCGCCTCCTTTAAACAACTATGCTATGATGTCACGGGTACTTAACTACATGTTTATGTAGTACATCCGCCACATTGACATTTAGAAATCGCAACGTACAATCTTTCTTTTTTCAGACTTCGTTATTCTGTTGTAGACAAACTCTTTTTGCAGCAATATCGATATCCGTCACAGGTTCAGTCCATATTTCTTTTAAATCTCTATCATAGCTAAACATAGAACTTTATCGATCTTAGCTGTGAGATCGAGGTTAAATCATGCATATACATGTAGGATGTGCTCAATGACACGAAACAATTAAAGGAAATTATTTCACAGACCAATGTCCACGCAGAAAAAAAAACGGATGTTTATGGGGATAACATACCGTTATTCATGAGAATGTGTTATTTTTGTTGTATTTTAAACATATTCTCCAGGTTTATTACAGGTGAATAAAAATCCGAAAGAACGATATAACGGAGAATAAATGGAACAAGGAGATTATGAATGAAAAGTTGACCCAAATAATAGAAATAAAAACTATAAATACATAAATCAATAAAAATATTTACCCATATAAAATATTTTGATGATTTATGTTATAAAATGACAACCATACTGTAAAGATAGAAGAATTTACAGTATAATCCTATTAGAGATATGTATTTTAAAAATCAATATAAGCAAAATATATTTTTCATTAATTTAGTAGGTCAATGAATTTGCAACAAAAAAATGCCATTTGCCCATCAAATTCTGTAAAATTTCATTAAGCTTTTTTATAACCTGATCCTTGTGTGTAAGTTTGGTGAAAAGCGTTATTCTGATTAAAGAAGAATTTAACAACCGTATTGTTGGATTTGTTTGTTCCTTTTATAAGAAATTTATCAAAAATTTAGCCCTTAAATTTACCAGATTTTTCTGGCAATTTCGAGGTCAAAAGCAAATCTTTTTGACACTATTGACGCCGCTTGGTTCTTGACGTTATGGACCCATTTCTAAAAATAACGTACATAAAATGGCCATGCCAAGTTAATTTGGATTATTGAAATAGCTAAAATATCATAACTGTACAGGTATGTATACCCTTTATTATTTTTAAGGATTAAATCGTTTATAATTTTAACTCACAGTCTTCAGTGATTTATTAATATAGCAAAAATGTCAATGCCTTTGAAGGAGTAGTGTTTTAAAAAATCAAAGAAAAAATTATTTTTCCGCCATGGAATAATATGTAATCAAATAATCTTTGTATATCATTTATGCATAAAATGGAAATAAATTAATACAGTATTTAAACATTGTTACTGTAAAAATATGAATATTCGAAAATTAACAAAATCTGCTAAAAGGAGTTAAGTAATTTTTGAAAACTTCCAAAAATTTCTGTATTTATTATAAAAATGAATTTCAATTACAATGATCAATATGATAAATAACGTCAATGTAAATGAAACAATTTTTTAATATTCGAGTATCAGTAAGTACAGAGTCACATTACCAAGTTAAATTTCATTATTTTGACAAATCAGAGTTAAAAACTGTGTATAGCGAGACATTGAATGTTCACAAACAATTATCGGCCTATTTAGACTGCTGCCTTTTTCCATGGAAAAAAAACACTTCCATTTTGTTGTTTTTAAGAACTCTGACGTTAGCAATGAACAATTATTTTTGTTTTAAAACAAACAATTTAATACTACTTTGTAACTTTTGGAAACAATTAAGATTAAGTGTAAATAAATACAATTGGTGTAACGCCATAAGTTTTAAAGGAATTTCGAACAAATTCAATTGAATACTAAGCCAAACATGTTCACAAAAAATTTAAAATGACACAAAAACTTAAGATATTGCAATTTCAGTATTTAAAAGTTATTAAAAGAAATCTTTAAACCAGTTATGATATGCAAAAAAAGGTGAGTGTACCATTATGTTTAAAAACTTTCACAAACCTGGTTCTGAAAATTTTAACATTTAATTTGTTTATCTAAATAGTAAACACTTTGAAAAAAATATTGTTTTTTTTAATACTTCCTTCGCAGATTACGGCTTGAATATCAAATATAAAAGAATCTGACTAAGCAAAAATAACATTATAAATTAGATAAAAAAATTGTGGTAATAAGAATATATTGACATAAAAAATATTTATTTATCGATTTTGCATGTAATTTCAAAGAAATATTTTGCTAAAAGTGTGTACTTAAAACGACATGACCTCAGTTTCGTAACTCTTTTTAATGCAAACAAAGCATTTACTGCTTTTAATTTATGTTTTTATTGAACATTTCAATGAATAAAATTATTTTTTTAAAAAAATAAAAACTGATACAATACATAAATCAATAAACAAATTTCCCCATAAATATAAATGTATATTTTTTGATTATGATGAAATATGAAAAGAGCAAGTCATAAATTTGTTGCGCATTATAAATTTATACAATAAATTAGGAAAAGATGTTCTTAAAATGTTTTAAACTATTTTTAACAAAAAAGAAAAAAAAAATTTTTATATATAGGCGTTAACATATGTTCATATATTATGAAAGCTAAGGAAATAATTAACAGCAAAATATATTCATTCATAGATTTGTTATGTTTACATAAAAAAAATACCGGCATTGATAATATGTATAATTTATAAATTAATATGAATGAAACCTGTTTACAGGTTAGTAGATTTTTTTTTTTGAATTATGAACATTAAGTAATACGTCATTTTATAATGTTTGAACAAAAATGTCAAAAATAAGTGTATAATTCTATTTAGTGCAGCAGACCACATTCCGGATACAATAAGTCATTATTTTAAAGTATATACATCGCTCTTTATTTCAATATTTTTTTTCATTTGTACATGTACATGTAGTAGGACTTTTTATATGGCCGACCTTAATAAAAAGGCACTGAGAATTTTTCACTTTTAAACAAATACTGCGCTCTTAGTAAATAACAGTTTATAAACTGTTCACAAAGAATAAACACCAACAATTCGATGTATTTATTCATAAATTACACCGTACAATGCATATACAAATTATAATAATAATAGTAAATAAAAGGCAAAAATATGCATGCCTTAATAAATTAAAGAAAATATTTAGACAATGAGAAAATTTTGGACAGTTTACTCTGTAAAAAAGGTAATTAATTTATTTATAAAATTAAACACCTTGAAAAATCTATAGGTTTATCATCGTGGTGCGTAAAATACATGTAAGTTTTATTTTTGTGCATTAAAAAGTTTCCGGGTGTAGTGCATGTAAATACATGTACCAGTAGAACTTTGGCATATACATGTAATATAGATTTTATTCAATCGTGAAAAGGGGTTAAGAAACGGATCATCTGACCAGTTTATTTTTTACAGTCATTTCTGTCTTGGTACATTTTAAATGATTTCCATACAGGTAAGTAATATTAAGTACAATTTGTTTTTTTAGAAAAAAAAACTAGAGTAAGATCGATTTCATGCCGTCAAGAATGCCATGGCATCCTTTATAACATCTCTGCCCTCAAGATCTTTCGACCTGAGCCATATTAAGGCCTTCTCCTCAATCATTTCCCATTCCTCTTTTTGTTCCTTCCAATCTTTCCTTAAGAATGCTACTGCGAGAGCTGTGGCCCAGACATTAACATCCTGTCAAAAGAAAAATAGATTAAGCATCTATGAGTACAATGGACAATAGACCAATCAATTTAGTACAGTACATTGGATAAAAGACCCGTGAACAATTCAGAGCAGTACAGTGGACAAAAGACCCGTGAACAATTTAGTCTAAACATGTAATACAATGAACAGGACTTTCAAACAATTCAGCATAGAACAGTGGATACAAGACCAATGAACGATTCATTAAAATACAATGCACAAGACTTAATTTTGAATAATTCAGCATAGTACAGTGGATAAAAGATCCGTGAACGATTATTTCTCGATCATGACAAGGAGCACAAGGCGGGTGTGACCGGTCGGCAGGGGATGCTCACTCCTCCATGGCACCTGATCCTACCTCTGATGTTTTAGAGGTCCGTGTTTGCTCTGCTCCTATTTGGTATTGTTTTATGGACTTTGATATTGAATACTCTTCATTATCTCGATATCCTTCATTCAGTATAATACAATGGACAAAAGACCCTTGAACAGTTCAGTATAGTACAGTGGACAAGACCTTTGCACAGTTCAGTATAATACATGTACAATGGACAAATAACACGTGAACAATTCAGCATGGTACAGTGGACAAAATATGTCTTATATCATTTCAAAGGGAGCAATGGTTCCTCAGAGAGACAACCAGATGGACAAGATTGAAGGTTTTCTGGTCAAATATTAAAAAGAGCTCTTCAAGTTTGGCATCATTAAACACTGTACATATTGAATTCATACCTACCTTCACCACAGAGGCTGACTTTATTTTATTCAAAGACAAGCCAAGTATTTCAGAAAAAGATTTGTTTAGCTGCCAGGACCCATCAAATCTCTGGTTCCCAATCAATTTTATCATTTTAGAAGAGTCTTCTGAATATAAAAGTCCATAGTTTTAGGAAAACATCATGGATCATGACAATTGTTAAACAAGACAGTTAATATTTTTAACAAATTAAATGTTTAACTATAAACTCAAATGAATGAAAGAAAAATTTCTGAAGACAATTTAGATTCTTTCAAACATTATCAGTCTTTGCAAAATAATATTTCACCTAATGGAATAATAAAAAAAGTTTACCGAATATCCATCATATTAAAAAATCGACGTTTTCATGATAGTAGTGCATATGATAAATTACAGTTTCTAAAAATGCATTTTTTACCTTTTCAACATAATGCTATATTTTCCGTAAGTAATATTAAATTTCTTTATAAGAAAATGTTTATTTTTTCCATATTAAATATACGTTGTGCTTAAATTACCTGAACCTAAATCTGATTCTTCAGATTTTTGCAAGCTGTGGCTACTTGTGGTAGCTACACTGTGTGCTCCGTAAGCCTGCTTGGCTTTTGATGCTGCGTTTTTTCTTTTTGATAGTACAGCTGAAAAACATGGAAAGACTTTCATAAAAAACGAAATTAAGATAAATTTCATGCCTCTAGATTCAAATATTTTACCTAATTTCATGGACGTTTGGACTTTTTTTGACTTTTTGACTGATGGTACGGTTCTTATACTTCCTCCACATTTCCGTTTCCGTGAAATTTTGTAGCAATCCGTTTCCTCTATCAAATATTCTGTAGCTTGACATTTTGATATGACGTCACCACTCGTTTTGTCAACACCAACAAATGCTGTATGTATGCTTGTGATATTGGCAGCGGTGCTTAGTACCACTATCTCATGCTCTAAAGTCAAATATAATAGTAAGGGGAAATCATAATAGAGTACGTGTACAGAATAAGGACTGTCATTACTTATTAATACAAATCATATCTTTCTTCAGATGTTTTGAAAACAATATAGCAATTAAAGGATATATGAGTTACGCATTTCCAAAATCATCACAAAGTACATAATTAAAATTTGGTTGTCAAAGCTGAAAAAGCTCTGAAAAGTGATTTTGGAAAGTTTCGGACACAATCGTTACTAGGTCCATTAGGCGAAATTATTTTTAATACGACCATTTTTCTATACAATACAAATGTAGATATTAAGCAAAAATCACGTTATGTAAGTGTTTATAGCGGGCTCCGAGTAATCTAGGTTTAAGAAAGACATGATATTGAGTACATGCCATTTATTTCATAAAGAATGAGATTATTTTAAACCAAATATGTTGTTTCAAAAATTATTTTAAATAGTTCATCAATTTATCTTTTTGGGGGGTTATTCTTGCTTAAGTTTAATATTATTCAAAATTACATAAAATATAACAGGTAGCCTTACCTTTGGCGCCCTTCATTTCCATCTCTGATAATCTGGCTTTAGCGGCCAGTCTATGAAGTGGATAGGATTCGTCTGTGTTGGCTGACCTGTCCGCGGCTTTTAAGACAAAGTCCATGTTATATTCCACATTCCTGTCCCCTGCCCTACCAGCTAGTTTCAATGAACTTTTGCCAGAAAATCGCTATTGAAACAGCAAAATCAAAAAATTTTAATAAAAATTTTGAAATTTACATCAACATGTATCGTATTTGACATAACAATAAATTAAAAATGTTACATTTTTTCAATACAACATCAGTGAAATTATCTGTCTCCTGTTGCGAGTCACTACTGATTCTAAATTATAAGAGGTACCTTTGATATATCTCGTGATATGATTCCAAAAAGAATAAGCTTGTCTCCTTGAAATATTGGCGGTACTTCTTCTGAAGCATTGATGACAGAACAACCTTCAGGTAGGCTCCACATCAAAGATACGTCCGTAATTCCACACTGGACGCTACTCTTCATCACAGACATAATCTACATATATTAAGTATACCAGGTATATATTCAACAATATAAATAAGGTGTCAGATAAAAATCCTTTTGACCTGAACCACTGAATTTCACGTTTCAGTAAAAAAAAATACAATTGCATTATAGACAAGAAACAGTCTGTTTGCTCGATGTCCTTGAGTAAACACGGATAAAAAATATTGCATTTTCAATTTATGACAAACTTAATACTAGTAAGCCGCATTCTGAACTACCAATGAAATCAGGCTCGAGTGCATTAAAAATTGACTTGCTTTTATAAATTACGACTTACGTTATATTAAGGACAGACGAGACGTTCCTTAATAATAGATAATTTTTTCTAGGAGTTTGTCATTGAAGTATTGCTACAAGTAGAGCTAAAATGTTATATTTTTTAAACATGTTTACTCACGATATATCCTTGCCAGGCATCTGCATGAAAAAGGTTATTCTTTGGGGAAGAAAAATAATTTTTCGGGTAATTTCAAATGTTTAAGTGAATTCTTTAAAAAAAAAAATATTAGAAACTGGTTTAGAAACAGAATTTTATTAAAATTTTGAAATTTTTCATACACTTACAATGATATACGAAACGAGTGCATTAAAAAGATTTTAAACGACTCGTAATTTATGACCTTAAAAAGGTTTTCTTTGCCCGAGGAATTCGGATATTGAAATCAGACTGAAATAACACCATTGTTAAATCTAATGAGCTTATCAAAACCTCACCTTAGATGCTAGTCTGTCGTTGTCTTTAACAAACGTAGCCTTTCCTCTACTTGCTTTTGCAACGTCTTTTATCAGTTCTGTTGAACAACCATCTCCAATCCCAAATGTAAAGATTCTAAATGAGAAACATAATTTAATTTATCCCAAGTTTACAAATGTCAAAGAAAGTGTTTTTAGTACTGTTAAGAAATCAGTTTCCTCACATACCTCAAAATATTTTTAGCCACGTCTCTTTCCTCTGCACCCAACAAAAACATCTATTGTTACATGTATGTTTAACTTAAGTATGTTTTAATATTATATATTTTTGTTTGAGTTTCAAAGAGGAATGTTTCATTAAAGTTAATGTATGAGATATCTGAGAATATATATTATAAAATACCTTGTGTTTTTCTGTTTTTTCACAAGCTTAACAATTCCTGGAACATTCCAAACTTGTCCATCCGTAAGCAAAAAAATCTAAGGAAAATAACTTCAATGAGCCTTTTCAGAGAACATTTATAAACTTTAGGAATTTCAAGAAGAAAATTAAACGATATTAAACATATTTCGTAAATTAAGACACTCACTTGTCTAGCGTAGGAGTCGGAGGATTTGTTTTTAAATATATCCTCCAGAGGTTTATAGATTTCAGTGCCACCCATATCTGCCATCATATTTTTCTGTAAATCCATGGCGCTTTGCAAGTTATTCTCGTTATATTCTAAACTCCTTCAAAAAAAATTATATACTCAGTTGTTATATTAAAAGATGACATTCACCAAAGCAACAATTTCAATAACTAACTACATGTACATGTCTAATTGTCTTCAAATGGTTGGTTCCAAAATAAAGAAACTTCTTTGTCTTTATTAATGCATACTTCATACAGTTTGAAATATTCGGAATTGAAATGTTCATAAATGGTCAAATACATGCATTTGAAGGTTCTCAAAAGTGATTTTAGATAGTTATGAATCGAGAGGTTAAGACCATATAACATTCTTTTTTATAGATTAAGACTTGGCGCCCTGCATAGAAACCATGCATATATGTTGGTTAAATATTGTTTGGGACAAAAAAATTCTCAATTATTATTATTTGAAATTGCATTTGCATTGACTGTTTATTAAATAAGTTGCTAATTAAAATGTTACAAAATCAACATTATACAACCCAAACATTACTGAAATTATAAAGTTGTATTATTTCCAAGTCATAATATGGGAAGTTTTGCACACAATATTATAACATATACTGGTGGTATTTGGTGAAAAAAGAAATACATTATTAAAAATTGCACAAAATAAATTTAATTTTATGAGAAATTGCAAATTAATTTTCTTGTTCACCTTGTAAATAATTTTGAATAACTGGACCCAAAGCTGACAACATTGAAGATACAGTGTACAGGGAGACTCTTCAGCATCAGTACAAGGGCCTCTTTAGCTTTCTCTATACGAGAGCCCATCATTGACCCTGTGTAAGATTAAAACATATCCTTTGTGTATCATTTTATCACGAATTGATTTTTACAAACAAACTTATAAATTTGTTTTTTTATGTACATTAAATGCCTGTTATTTACTTTTTGTGTATATCTGAGATACAAGATTTGTTTCTCACCAGAGCGGTCAATTATGAACACAAATTCACATGGCATGTTTGTGTCAAGATCCTTAAATTCTGGAGAAAAATTTACCATCAGAATGTCGGATGACAAAAACACGTCTGTAAATAAACCCAGAGGAAAGATTTTGAAGAGAGTTGACGCCATTATTGATAAATTACAAGATTTCACACACCCCTACCCTATCCCCCAAAAATAATGAATCAAATTAATTTTCTAACTTTCAGTGTCTTTTTTGCCAATCTCAAGAACAGCCTCTGGCTTTTCAAACCCTCTATAATGCAACAAAATCGAAAAATCCGAGCCTCCTTTAAGATGCGTTGATAAAGCCACCTGTAGATTGAAATTTACATATTGAAATATTTGAATATCTTTATTTCAATTTTTTTTATTTGTATCTTTTGCATTTTCTTGAATTTCAAAGACATCGTCATTTTATTGCTTAATTACTATCATTGTAACTTGTAGTTTGTTTTTTTTTCACAAATTTCGAGATATGAAAGTTTGAAAAATGAGAATTGAGTACTTTGTATTTTATTTTATCAGCGAACACGTCAAATTCCATTTTGTTTTCGGATACCATCAGCTTTTTACCACCAAAAATTACAGCCTCAAGGTCCATCGCAAAGTCAGGATAATACACCACTTGGTCAATCTCTTGATCAATCAGCGCTGTACAACCCTTTGTCGTGTTTGGTGTTAATTTGGATTCATCCGTTGATGCTTAAAGAACCCAAATAGAATTCATTTTATAGAATTTCTTTTTCCTAATTGAAATCCCTACTTTCATAAAAAAAATATGAATTTTACCAAGATCAAATGATATAATTCAGAGCGAAAACTTACGACATTCGGGGGCATATCTTGGATTCAGGACTGTTGGAAGCATAAATGTTCCTGTCTTATCAGACCTCAATTCAATCTCTTGCGCGTAAGCAAACGTGAGTTTGGCAGTCTTCTTGGCAGGGATTTTACCGAGTCTGAGTCGAAAAATATCCCCCGCTTCATCATCTTCCCCCAAGTACATTGCTGTGTGACCCAAATTAATTGCATCACGGTAAGTCGCTTTTGCCTAATCAAACAGAATAACATTGAATTGTTAGATAGCGGTATAAAATAAAGAAACTGTATTAGCCCTGTATACAGCATTTTTTGCCAACTATTACAGCATAAAAATAAATTTGATTCAATTTAGCAAAAACGTACAAATAGATAAATAAATGTTTTCCTATTATAAATTTTGGAGTATTTTCCTGAGAATGTAAAATTCAAATTTCTAATCACTTTTTAAAAACTTATCCACACAGAATCTACACACAATTTCGATCCAAAGCAAAAGAAAAATTTAACGGAAAACATATGTACGTAATCGCTCCAAACGAAACGGAAAATGCAATAACGGAAAACATCCACTCTCCTCGTGCAAAATCATTCATGTCCAGTGTTTTTATTTTTTAAAATCCTTCGCTGATACAGCCACACGTCTCTTAATGTCGCAATTGCAATTTGAAAATAAAAATCCGTGACATCTTTTTCGAAGAATTTTCTGTAAATCCTGTTTTTGTTAATCTAGATAAAGGAATTTAAGACCTCAGTGAATTTAAATTTATTCTAACTCTCCATCTTCAATTTAATAGATACAACAATGACCTAAATCCTCCACCTTATCCATTAAGACTGACTATCACTCGGCTTTAAATTGTCAAAACTAATCTGACCGAATTTTACGTTTTCCGTGGAAATATATATACTGCGAGTCCAGAACTCTGGAGAACAAATGCTATCAAAGTTTAAAGTGGGCGGAGCTATTTTTGATTGATCGTGTCACAAATCATTTAGAGAACTCGACAAGATAAATTTGGGGGTGAAGGTCAGAGGTCACGTTGGCTATGAATCCATGATTTATTGGAAACTGTATTTTCAAAATGAAAGCTTTTGAGAACTAAAGACCGCTAATAAAGTATTTCTTTGTATTTCCAATAATTTTTTAAAGAATATCATCATCGAAAAAGTTGACAATATTTAATGCATTATGCACAATAAATCGTACATGTACAGTGTACTTGATACCAACCTCCTGCCTTAACTTCTAACTTTTTCTATATTTCTACATCGGAAGGTACCTGTGATTTCTCCTGAACCTCAGCTACAATGGTCCTACCGTCTATCTCAGCTTCAAACTTGTAGACCGCTGCCCCGGAGTCCAATGGAAACACAAACTCTGTCTCTATGTTCTTGTCCGAGTCGTTAATATATTGAAGGTCAGAGGTCACATTGGCAATGAATCCATGAATTGAAACCTGTATGCTGATTTTCTTCAGTGAAACTGCAATGAAAGGTATAAATATTGTTCTAAGTTATTTTTAGGAAGGAAAAGAGGAAATAAGCAACAACATGTATTTGAATCATTGTTCCTGATAGTTGAATTAGAATTTTCAAAGAAATCGATATCGTAGCCTGATAGACAACACTTGTTAAAAAGGAATACTATGTACCATAATTTTATTTGATAGATCTTCAAAATACCCCTTTTAAACTATGGTGTCAGTATTTATAAATATTTCTTTTTTACCCCCAAAAAATGTTTACCTGCCTTTTCTTTACGTATTTTATTAGTTCATGTTATGCATTAATCTTAATTACTAATGGCAACTTTTAACGCTAACGCATATTAATTGCAAAATAAAACATTTCTTTTCATTTACTATGAAAAATTGGGGGGGGGGGATCTAATAAAATATTTTTTTTTTAAAAAAGCTAATATCGGCCTTCAATGCTAAAACCAGAATTATCAGAAAGATCTATGATATAATATTTGCTGTGGTATTCCTCCTTAATTTCCTTACCTGTCTGATTCTGATTCAGCGATAATAGTCCACACCTTCCCCGTCTTTTAGCGATATTGTACATAGCGAACTAGATTCTTAGCTAGGACTCCAACTCTAAAATCATCAAATAATTGCGATAATGTGGTAAAATATCATTTTTAAAACACCGCAAAAAAGTAATTAGTGGTGTTGCACATTATAATTCCTCCCTAGGGTTCAGCAGAGAAACAAATATAAATGTTTATAGAATGTGTCGAAAAAATTTTTAATGTATTACAATTTAAGAAAGTAAATTTTATATCAGGGATTTAATTCAACATATTTATATCTAAATTTATGTGTGTTATTAAAATACAGGGAAGAATTTTTAAACTGTTTCATTTTTTTTTTTCATTTTAATTAATCAAATATGTTTCATATGCTGAAAAAAGACATTTCATTCACAAAACAAAAGAGCTAAATAAAAACGGCGAAGTATAACACTGGACTATTACTACTCTTACAATATGTTTGTACTACAGATCAATTAATCCGGGTTCTGTCGATACAGTGCACATGTACTTTGCATTTTGATAAAGTATCAGTGATAAGTGGCCATGTATATTTGTTCAGTAAATATATATAAAGGTTTGATTATTATAACACATGAGCTAAATAAAAACGGCTAAGTATCATAACTGGACTATTAGTTAAATTCGATACAGTGCACATGTACTTTGCATTTTGATAAAGTATCGCATATTTGTTCAGTAAATATTATAACTAAAGTTAAATTTCGCCATAAAAGTAATTTTATAGTTAGACGCCGGGTCTACCTAAATCAATCTAATTATTTAAATCATAGCCTTTGATCCGCTCACATAGATCGCTACAAAACGCCCGATGTATATCAGTGGATCAGATTTTAATCAAATTGTACCTATATATATACGTATCTTTCGTCACTTACGGAATCACATGGGGAGCGCCTATTTTGAATGAACACATTCAATATTTTTTTTTCAATTTATTGAATTACAGCGCCAGGTAGAAATTTTCGATCCCAAGGTTGACCTAAATTTAACTGTAAACACCCGTAAATGTTTACAAATATGCAAATACCTTTGATGACGATCCCTTTAAAAATAGACTCTTTCACTGTTTCAGATCTGCATGTTAAAATTCTGGCTCTCACAGTTGCCTGGAAAGTAACATTTATTTGTCCACAAATCAATCGGTACTAAGAGTCACAGTCCCTGAAACAAAAATAGATATTACAAACTGTTACAGGGTAACCCCGATCGAATATAAATAATAAATGCGTACATCCGTTAGCAACAGAGTAGCTTCCGGTTATCCCGAATAGGCGGAATTTGCCGATTGCATGTTCTGAAAAATATTACAGAGAACTACCTACATGTTAAAAGAACACTGCTCCATGAAATTCGTGAATTTCATGCATTTTTTTTTTTATATTTCAGCACTCTGTTGATTAAACTATGTAAAGACTCTTCCATGTCTCTGAACGGCTAGTCAACATTCTATTCGGTTCAGTTCAATTCATTCTCTAAAAACCATGTAAATGGTACATGAGGTACATAAACATATACAACATAAAATTATAGATATTATGATATAGTGGGTCAAGCAGAATGTGCAACACGTAGCTAAGGAAAACAGACCATACCGTCCATTTCCATTAATTTTAATAAAAAAATAAATGTACACAATTTTTTTTTCAAAGAATCAACGTCATTTTATTTAGCATGACTTCACACAACTTGATGATATTTATATTAGAACAAAATTTTTGGTTCAAATAATCTTTCCTCAATACATTCTAAAAGATGGGTACCCCAAAGCGTAACGTACGGACGGACGGAAACTTGTACAGCTAGACATAAAGACAGCTAGACTTCCCTATCACTACAATACTATCGATATTTTCATACATGTAAACCCTATATTTCTCAGCCGTATAACAAACCGGGGCGCTACTTTGGTAAAACAATTTATCACACAGATCGAATTGACATTCGTAAAAATCCGCGAAAAATTTCTACATTGTCCAAACACGAAAATACTACTTCTGGTGTGTGGGGGTCAAACTTCTTTCTGTTCAATAGAATTCTTTTTTCGAACCCAACCACTTACCCTTCTTTAAATTTACTATATACACTTGTCACTTCAACGTGTCTGTTGAAAGTGTGTGTGTGTATGTGTGTGTGTGGGGGGGGGTTGCACTATGTAACAAAAATTCTGAAAGTCTCATTATTTCATCCACAGGTGCTTGAGGATAGGATCCCCCCTTCCATATAGACCCGTCACCCCTGGGTCTTTTCGACTTTTTTTCTCATAAATTATCTGTCATTGACATATTTGTGATAAGATATTACTAGTATCACATCACTGAGCCAAAAACTTCGTGAATTTGGAATTAGGCCATTCTAAGGTTTTCCCTTATTTAGCATCCACCCATCTTTCAAAAGACATGAGTCTAAAATAAAACACATACTTTATAGTACAATTATAGGGAAGTCACTGGGCTATGAAATTACTTCACTATATCCGTATTTTGTTATAACCGTATAAGAAATTCATTAAATTTATATAGCTGGGAATCCAAGATGAATTTGCTATATCAGTAAATTCGCAATATCCGTATATTCGTACTATAAATGAGTTTTGCTGTACATGTAATAAAAATGACATACGATATAATCCCTATTAACCGCCCCGGGCGCTTAGAAAATTGAGAAAAGGGGGTGGTTATTTTGGTATTCTCTTTGTAATATTTAATATCATATCTTACTTCAAAAATATTTTGGAAAGAAAATAAATTTAAAGAATCTCGAAAATAATGACTAACTTTACTTTAAATGAAGAAAATACACCCAAATCATATGCTAAATGAACCATTTTTTGCCAAGAAATTGGACAATAAACATGTTTCATTTTCATTTCCATTTTTATTTCAAATTTTGGCAGACTTTTGTTACAATTCTAGATTAATCTAATCACTGTACAGGGGGCTCTTATATTTCCTGGCAATTGAAAAAGACCTAAGGGTACGCTTATAAGGGTAGGTAAGGTAATTGACTAATTCAAAGAATATATTTTTTTTTCATCTTTATCTATTTTTCAAAAAGAAAGCTATTTTCTTCAGCAATGCACTTTTCCAATAATGACATTTAATACAAATATTACATTGTAAGCATGTTTAGAGACATTGGCAGAAATAACAAATTCTGTCCAGAATAATCAATTTTCAGACTCCTTATTCTGTTTGTTTTTTCTGACATGGGGCTTCAAAAACCCTAGCACACTCAGATGCTAAATCTAGAAAAAAAAAATTGAAATGGCTGTTTAGAATAAACAATGTACTAGAAAGATTATTGTACATTGACCTCTATGGGCTTTGCATGTTTTACATGTATTAAGATATATTGTTATAAATAATTCTCTTTTTATTAAAATATTAAATCAAATAAATTATTTACCAAAATATTTTAACAAAATTAAAATTCGTTTCTTTGCATAAAGAACAGATAACTCTTCAAAAACTTTTCGTGTTCAAACTGATTATATTTGTTATCAGTTACGTGAATTTGGTTAATTTCACTTTCATTGTTATCTAGCAATGTAATTTTAAATAGTTTAAACAGATTCAAATGGATCGAAATCCCTTCCTTATATATTGAATACCTTAATATAAAAAAATCAAATTAGTTTCAAATATATGAGTTGAAGAAAAAGAATTCTGGATGCTCTTTTCAAGATTTATGGAACAGTGCTGAGGATTAGATGCTGTTTAATTGATAGCATATGATGTTAAAAGTCCCTCTCGAGAATTTTTCACTCATATGAAGATCCCTTGCCAGTGGAGAGTTGCAAATTTTGTTATATACTCACGCAGCACTTATGGCCATTGAGCAGTGAGGGGTCTTTTTCGTGCCAGCCACATCCTGCAACATGAAACTTTGGTTTAAACAGTCTCATTTATAGGACCGGTCTCCACGTCGCACAGTGGGATTTTAACCCAGGACATACGGATCAACTCCAGGACCTTACCTCACGACTCTAGAACAGACGCTCTAACCACTACGCCACAAGGGCAGTTAAATTGAAGGCTTAGATTCGCATTTTTAGCTCACAATTAATAAAGTAAATGGTTGAAGCTATACTCTCAGTGTTGACTGCATCCACGGTTAGAGGTTTTGAAGATGGTAAATACCAAAGAAACCTTAATTTATACACTATCTTTTATTGCCATCGACCTTGATAGACCTTAGAACTGATAAAAGAGTCTGTAAACCTTATAACTCTGGTAAACATGTACCCGAGGGTGCAGACTAAGTAATTACTCTTCTGTGACATTGATTTAAGAAAAAGAGATCACAGCTAGAGCAAAGCTCTTAACAACATAATGCGTAGCTCTTCTGTTTCAGCAATGTATAGTGTACATACGAGGGTTGATCCAAAAGTTCATGGAATTTCTTTCTAAAATTGTATCGTGATGTGATGTAAACAAATGATAGAAATATTTATTATATAGAGTCATAATGCAACAATATTGGAAAATTTCACCCGTTCCAATTACCAATAAGGTTACACGAGCTTTCTGAAACATGGATTGTTGTGAAACCCGTCTGTTTGCCTATCCATAACAATTTTTGATCCAGGTTTTCTTAGCAACTGCTCATGCTCTGCTTGAAATCTTAGCACATTCTTTGTTGAGGCATGTCATGGTGGGACTAGTTTTTGTTCACAACAGATGTCAACTTCCTGTGCTTCTGTTTGCATCATACATAATAAATTTTCATCCCAGTTTTTTCAGCAACTACTGAGTACTCATTATAGATGCTTAAAATTTAAGCATATTCTTTACAGAGGCATGCCATATGGTGGGATTTATTTTAGTTTAAATCAGATTGTAAACCTTCTGTTTATCCATGTGTCTGTCTGTACAATACATAACACGTTTTCGTCACAGTTTTCTTAGCAAGTGCTCATTGCAGATGCTTGAAATTTTAGCACATTCTTTGAGGCAGTTAATATGGTGGAATTTGTATTTATTTAAAACGGATGTCAAGTTCCTATTAAGCCGCGCATCTGGCTGTAACTGAACTTTTGTATATCAACACAAGAGGCCAAGGGGCCACATCGCTCACCTGAGCAATTGGCTAGGAAAAAACAAAGTTCAGATCAGAACTCAATGTAAACTGGGGGGGGGGGGGGGATTTTACACCCCCCCCCCCCCAGGGGGTCATGATTTGAACAAACTTGAATCTACACTACCTGAGGATAATTCCCTATAAATAAAACGAAGCCTGACTTTGAAGTACTTGAAAAGAAGATTTTAAAAGGTTTCCCTATATGTTCCTATGTAAAACTTTGATCCGCCATTTTGGCCCCACCCTACCCCCGGGGGTCATGATTTGAACAAACTTGAATCTACACTACCTGAGGATGAATCCACATGAGTTTCATCTTTCCTGGCCCAGTGGTTCTTGAGAAGAAGATTTTTAAAGTTTTTTCCTATATATTCCCTTGTAAAACTTTGATTGGCCATTTTGGCCCAACCCTTCCCCCCGGGTCATGATTTGAACAAACTTGAATCTACAATACCTGAGGATGATTCCACATGAGTTTCATCTTTCCTGACCCAAAGTTTCTTGAGAAGAAGATTTTTTAAAGATTTTCCCTATATATTCCTATGTAAAATTTTGATCGGCCATTTTGGCCCCACCCTACCTCGGGGGGTCATGATTTGAACAAACTTGAATCTACACTACCTGAGAATGATCCCACATGAGTTTCATCTTTCCTGACCTTGTGGTACTTGAGAAGAAGATTTTTAAAGATTTTTCCTGTATATTCCTATGTAAAACTTTGATCGGCCATTTTGGCCCCACCCTTCCCCCGGGGGTCATGATTTGAAAAACTTGAATCTACACTACCTGAGGATGATTCCACATGAGTTTCATCTTTCCTGGCCCAGTGGTTCTTGAGAAGAAGATTTTTAAAGATTTTTCCTGTATATTCCTATGTAAAACTTTGATCGACCTTTTGGCCCCACCCTACCCCAAGGGGTCATGGTTTGAACAAACTTGAATCTACACTGCCTGAGGATGATCCCAAATCAGTTTCATCTTTCCTGGCCCAGTGGTTCTTGAGAAGAAGATTTTTAAAGATTTTTTCTATATATTCCTATGTAAAACTTTGATCAGCCATTTTGGCCCCACCCTACCCCCAGGGGTCATGATTTGAACAAACTTGAATCTACACTACCTGAGAATGATCCCACATGAGTTTCATCTTTCCTGATCTAGTGGTACTTGAGAAGAAGATTTTTAAAGATTTTTCCTGTATATTCCTATGTAAATCTTTGATCGGCCATTTTGGCCCCACCCTTCCCCCGGGGGTCATGATTTGAACAAACTTGAATCTACACTGCCTGAGGATGATCCCAAATGAGTTTTATCTTTCCTGGCCCAGTGGTTATTGAGAAGAAGATTTTTAAAGATTTTTCCTGTATATTCCTATGTAAATCTTTGATCGGCCATTTTGGCCCCACCCTACCCCCGGGGGTCATGATTTGAACAAACTTGAATCTACACTACCTGAGGATGATTCCACATGAGTTTCATCTTTCCTGGCCCAGTGGTTCTTGAGAAGAAGATTTTTAAAGATTTTTCCTGTATATTCCTATGTAAAACTTTTCAGCCATTTTGGCCCCATCCTGGGGTCATGTTGAAATTCCACATATATTTGGTTATTGAGAAGAAGATTTTTTAAAAATGCCATTAATTTTTCTCTAATTCATAATTATCTCCCCTTGGAAAAGGGCCTGGCATCTGAACAAACTTGAATCCCCTTTACCCAAGGATACTTTGTACCAAGTTGGTTATTATCAGAAGAAGATGGAAATGTGAAAAGTTTACGACGACAACAACGACAACGACAACGATAGACAACGGACAAATTTTGATCAGAAAAGCTCACTTGAGCCTTCGGCGCAGGTGAGCTAATTATAGTGTATAATCACATCAGAGCTGAGGGTATTACTAATGGACACTGGCTCACATACTTTTTGTTGGGTGTTCTTTTTATATATGATTAACAATCCTATGCACTTTCTCTGAATAAATAGTGTTTTTAAAATTTATTGAAAACTTTTTTGTTATTTTGGGGTCATTTTTAAGTCAACTGAGCTAAAAGATCGTGAGCCTTGCTGATCATCCGTTTTCCATCTGTACTCTTTTCATATTTTCAACTTCTCCTCAAAAACCACTGGGAAAATTTTAACCAAACTTGCTGCATAGGGGAATTTCAATTGTGAAATGAAGGAACAAAATCAAAAGAAATGGGGTAGAATTGCTAAGATTTATCTTGAAGTATCTTTGGGTTGTGCTGATTCTGAATTGGTAAATCATGTCTCCCGGAAGTAGGGAGGCTACAATAGATTTCATTTTTTTTTTCATTTGAATATTTAGGAACAATTTTTCAAATTCTCTTTTCAAGAACCACTGGCCCAGAAATACCGAAACTTATGTTGAAGTGTCATGGGGTAGTGTAGTTAATTTGAAATTGTTAAAATCATTACCCCTTGGGATAGTACTGGCCACATTGGGAATCAAAGTTTAACATTGAAATATATAGGAGTTATGTTTGAAAAAAACATTCTCAAGAACCACAACGCCAAAAATGCTAAAACTTCCAAGGAAGCATCCTGGGAAAGTGTAGATTCTAAATTATTTCAAATCATGACTCCATTTTCAGGGCGGGGTCAAAATAGATCTTGCAAGTGGGAAAATCTGCTGAAGAACAGCAGGCTAAAGTTTCTCAGGTGAGGGTTGTGGTCCATAGGTCTCATATTTACACTACTCGTGTAATTTATATATCAATATAATGTTTATAATACTTTATATACCTGTTTATATATAAATCATACCGCAGATTCTAAAGCCATTCCAAAGATCAGTCAATAGCTTTATCATGTATATGCCTTGATGACGGCTTGATGGCAGGTGTCCGATTGCAGATTTAAGAGGTAGGATTCGGACTCTGTGGATGCAGCACAATCTGATACAGAACCAGTTTCTGTAGTGTTTTGCATAAAAAGCCCATCTCCGCTTTGTTTTTCAGTGTAGAATCATGCTTCTTTAATTGTGTTGATCTCTATTTTGGTTACTACAAAGGGTAACTCTTTTTTCGTTTATGAATTTTTCGAGTTACTGTTCCTATTTTTTCATTAAATATTCTGATCAGGCCAGTTATAGAAATAAAGAACGGTGTTCAAACTCAAAGTCCATTTAACAGAACAAATCAAGAGCAGAGCAAATTAGGACAAGGTCATAGTATCGACCATAGAATATATACAAAACGATGAATTCAAACGCAAATCTTTTTTTGAATGAAGAAGAATTTAAATTTAAATGTAAAAATAGTACATCAACATATATAGTTCACTAAGGGAAATACTTTTTAAATGTATATATCTCAGAATAAAATATCAATTTGGAGGGAAATAAGTTGCAGTGGATAAACAGGGAGTTACATGTAAATTATATGAAGATTAATATATGTGAGAGTTATTGTACTGCCTGAATCGCATCGTGTACACAAAATATGTGTAGTAAAACTTTCATATTTAATTAAGAAATGTCATTATCAAGCAGGAAAAGCACTAAAGTTACAAAACTGTTATGTTGATAAAAAAGTCATTGCTTCCTGTACGACATCTTTGCCTTCAACATCTCTTGTCTTCAACCAGTTCAACGCTTTCTCCTCGATCATCTCCCATTCATCTCTTTGTTCCATGAAATACTTTCTCAAAAATGCAATGGCAAGAGCTGTCGTCCAAACACTAACATCCTATGGGGAAAAAACCTACATGTATTAATTGAATCTTTGTCATGTGAATGACAAAACTTTTTTACAGGATGCAAAATCTTAACTTGAATAACGAAAGAGTTACATACTTATACTCTCTTTTATTGATAAGTATTGAAGGTTAGAGACACCATTAACGGTTTTTTTTTTTCAATTTGACTTCGTTTTCCTTTGAAAGTAGTTTTTCTTTGAAAGTACTTATTTCACTTTAGACTATGTTTTCCACGTTTCGTTTATTGCAAAAATAAAATCCAACCTTTTCTATCATATATTATTCAATTTACCTGTATCACTGTAGATGATTTTATTTCATCCTGTGATTTGTTGAGTATTTCTGAGATTTTCTCTGTTAACTCCCAACATCCATCAAACCTCTGATTCTCAATCAATTCCAACATTTTCAAGAACTGACTTCCTTTAATAAAATCATAGTGTTCGGAAAATACTGAGTATACCAAATTTAAAATCCCTAAACCAAGAATATGTAACACATGTTTGCTTTTCAATTTATTATTTTTTTTTACAATATCTATTGTATGTACACATGTTGCTTAAAAAATGACATTGGACCTACTTCCCAACAGATTTCTAGAAATCTGTAGCTGGTAATTGATAAGAGGAGTCATAATATATAAAGGAAATCATCTTGTGTATATGATGTGTCAAACTCCAGGGAATGTTTTATCCTTTTTCATCCTTTTTATGGAAATGAATACTGAGTACCCTACCCAAAGAAAAGTTCCTAGATCCACCCTATCAAGACAAACCGTTTTAGTTGAATCAAATATTTGGGGAAAAAAATTAAGTTAATTATCTAAGTTCCTTTTTACTTTGAATAAAAATTATAAACAAACAAACAATCCTTTAGTTTTCTTAATGAGAAACTTTGCAGTGAAGAAGTAGAATTTAACTCCAAGTTTTCAATTTAAAACAAATTTAAATGAAATCTTACGTTTTTCATTTTCGGGCTCAATGTCCCCGAGTTCTTCAAGTATATCAGATTCATTACTTAAAAATTCTAAAGATTAAAGATAAATGCTATAAAAAGAGTTGTCCCTTAAAATTCTTGACAAACTTAAGGCATGGTTTAATAATTAATGTCTGAGTTTAACACTAATATTTGTAACGCCCAAACTACAAAGCATATAAAAATCAAAATGCTTAAAGATTAAATCATCTAAAATTTTCAGCGTAGTTTTCCTACAAAGGGTTGAGTGCTGTCTGATTTGTTCCTATTCTTTATACCATTTATCCCATTAAAGACTTCCTGTATTTCTTTGCATACAACTTTTAACATTTTTTATGTTTGTTTTGAGTCAAATCATAAAAATCTTGAAGCATTTCCTGTAATTCCCTTGAGCTTTTCAAACAAACTTTGTAAGCATGAAAGCAAGAATCATGCAAGAAACATACGTATAAGTGTTTTGCAAGAAGTGTTTTATTAAAAACATATCTGTTACATTCAAGAATCCTTTAAGAACTGTTTGGAAAATGTATTGGAAGTCACTTTATTTAAAATGACAAGCGCGCTTCAGATTTATTACACCAATAGCTTTCAAAATGTCAAAATAAATAGAAAACAACTACATGTATATACAGTGAAGACAATCCTGTGTTTTGTGCATATATCGAAGATTACCTTTCTGGTCTAAGTCTGGAGTATCATAGTCCAAAGAACATAATGCCATGCTGCGGCATGCGACTGACTTTGTTTTCTTTTTTGATGCCATTGCTTTTAAACATAAACATAAAATTTTGTCAGTTTCATTTCTCTTTCATTTGAGGTGAGAATATATCCTCGCACTGCTTTTTGTTTTTTTTTTCTACAAAGGGTTAAGCATTCTCTTTAAATTTTATTTGTTAAAATAATGTATCCAATATAAGACTTTTTATCACCATTTGCATATTACTTTCATATGTTTTTCTTTATGTTCAGTTTGCAATATGTCTATTTACTCTTCCAGAATTTCTTGAAATCCTATCAAGCCTTCCAAACACTGTGTATGAAGCATTGTTGCGACGCACTTTGGAAAAAAAAACTCGTCGAAAAAAAGGAATCAAAATGCCTAAGATTAAGATAAAATCAACGCAATTTGAAGTTTTACAGAGTGCATTAACAGTGTACATTCACATTATTTTACCATGGAGACAATTAAGACACTTTCAAAAAAATGTATTAAACAAAATGTATTAAACAAACATACTGGACTAATTTTAGCAATGAACAGCATTATTTTGTTATATTACTTTCGAAATGCATTTGTGACAAAAAATGGCTGACTTACATGTAGTCGTACTCGAACAACAAACGGCTGTAAACGTTTATCTTGGAAATTCTTTTGTAGTAGTAAATAATAATTTGTACAGGGTTTATGAAGACAAAGGTCTTGCCATAAGTTAAGACATTAATTGTATTTATTATATGAGTGAAGGAAGGGAGATAGTTTAAATATGATGTTTGTTCTGTTTTCCAGTGAAAGCAAGCTGGGGAATAGATGCGTCCTTATTTGAGCAATTTGATATGAAAGATGGTAAATTTTACAGTTAGAAAAAATTAAATGAATATTTAAACATTAATAAAAAATATTAAATCCCTCAAACATCATTTACGTTATCTGGAAGAGGATATCCTTATCTCCCAGACTATTGCTGAGATTTTATCATTTCTGATGGACTGTTTAAAAAAATCTTGCATGGTAAGAAATATGTCTTTTAGCTTCTGTTCTTACTATTCTGTGGGAATAAACACTTTTTAATACTTTTATATATTTATTAAACAACAATTAAAAGTTAATCATATTGTGGGAAGATTATTTTCAATTAGCAAACAATCTTGAGCCCCATTCTTCATATATTTAAAAACAAAGAGAGGCTCATGGGCCACACGAGGACAATCTGTTAGGAAAAAAGGCAAATCAGATAAGTGTTAAAAAGTTCACGGGGGACTTAAATTCTATACTTCTTGAAGATGCCTTTATAGCATATAACTTTTTAAATATTTTAAAACAGATTTTCTTCCTATATATTACTTTGTAAAAATTTAATCACCATTGTGGCCCCATCCTACCCCAAACAAATTTAATTTTTACTACAGGAGGATGCTCACATATCAATATGACTAAACATTGATTTACTGTTCTTGAGAAGATCCTATTTTTTATGTTAAAACTTTGATCTCCCATTGTGGCCCCACTTATCCCCTGGGAGTTATGATTTTAACAAACTTGAACCTACACAACCAGAGAATGCTTCCATATAAAATTCTATTGATCATGAGAAAAAGATATTTAAAGATTGTTTTCTATTTATTTACATTTAAAACTTTGAACCCCCATTGTGGCCCAACCCTACCTCCGGGGGTCATGATTTGTATAAAATTGAATCTAAACCACCTGAGGATGATTCAGCATGACTTTTAACTTTTTTTAACCGAGTAGTAAGAATTGAATTAAATTGAATATACACTACCTAAGGATGATTCCACATGAGTTTTATCTTCCCTGGCCAAGTGGTTCTTGAGAAGAAGATTTTTAAATGATACCATTAATTTTTCCTTAATTTGTAATTATCTGCAGTTTGAAGAGGGCATGGCCTTTCATTTAAAAAGAAAACTTGAATTCCCTTAACACAATGATACTCTGTACCAAGATTTAATTGAAATCGGCCCAGTAGTTTTTGAGAGGATGAAAATGTGAAAAGTTTAATACAACGACGGCAACGCCGACGACGACAGACAATGTACAAATTTTGATCAGATGAGCTCACTTGAGCCTTCAGCTCAGGTGAGCACATTAATAAAAATCTAAACACAGCTAAATGTATTATGGTCTTTAGTACATGGAGTTAACTTGGTCATTCAATTTTAAAGAATTTATGAATTCAATTGCAACGTGCATAATTTTTTCAAAGTGTGTTATAACAAAGCTTGTTAGAATCGTGCGAGAAAGAAGTATGTGTAACGCAAGGATATTTTAAAAAATTATTTGTTACATTCAAGAAAGTTGGAAAAATGTGCAAGATTCAACTGGAAGTCACCTTATATTAAAAATGGCTAGTGAGGTTTAGATTTATCACATCAATATATTTTAATGTGTCGAAATTAAGATAATCTGAGAAAACAATAAAATTTAGACTAATTTGCGTTTTGCATATATATCAAAAGTTACCTGGAATATCAATATCCATAGAATGTGGCACTGGGGCCAAGTTGCGAGATAATAGTGGCTTCATTTTCTTCCTTTTTGGTAAAATATCTTTAAAAAATAAAATATATGTATGCAAATGATATCTGAATACTTGAATACTTAATTTTATTTGTCAATTACTAATTTTAACTTTTCTGTTCTACAAGCAGAAAATTAAAAAAAAAAATATTTCAACTCACTTGAACAAAAATTTGCCACCTTCCCCATGAGTCCTTGTGCTGATTTATACCTTGGTGCAGTTGCAGCACATAGACTGTACATAGCTTCCTCTACAACTTCCTCAAGGTCATCTGTATTGCTTAATTTTCCTACAATTTCTCTGCTCTCTCTATCTACACCAACAAACGCTGTGTGTTTGCACGTTACATTAACTTCTGTACTTAATGCCACCATCAAACTCTCTGAAATCAAAAGAAAATATTAGGAAACGTGATTTATTTCATTATCTACATAAGAAAAAACAGAACTAGAACTATTCTTTTCTAACTGTTAGAGATAGAATCAATGTTTGTGGTATTTTTATGTGTACACACGTGTCTTACAATATTTACACATCAAAAAAAATATTTAAACACCAGATTTTAAATCATAAGAAAATGTTATATTTCTAAGATGACATATTCTCAAATATAACTTTTAGAATTGCCTTGCAAAATTATATAATTTTTTTTAGATGAATATAAATATTTAAAAAAAAATTATCCATGTGGAATGGATAACGTAAGATAAGTGTATAATAAAATTTTATGAATAAGTTTTTGACATCCAACAAGATGTAAAAGTAGACAAAATGACACAATTTTGATAATTAATGTAAATTTTATGCATATGAATGCATTACATAAAATCACTAATTCTCAAGTTTTTTTTTCCACAAGGATATAAAGGTTAAAATATCGCCTTCAAAAATGTTTTATCATTTTAAGTGACTATATATGATTCAAAATATATTTTTACATATGTATACATGTATTACACATGGAAACAAACTAGTAGGCTGTCTTTTAAAAGAATCTTTGTCAGATGAGGCGTCTCAACATCAGTGAAAAATTCTCATGAGGTACGTTAAACAATATACACTACAATTAATCAATCTTCAGATGAATTTTCGAAGAATGAAACAAATTGAGATAAGGAACAGTGTTCAATACAAAAAAACAGAACCGCTTAATTGCTTTTACAGAAATTTGGATATTTTCATTAAATAACGAAGATTTCAAATAAATGATCATTACCATCAGCATCATTTGCTTCCATCTCTGATAATCTGGATTTGGCCGCAAGTCTATGAAGTGGATAGGATTCACCTGTGTCGCCAGACTTGCTGACGTTCAAGTCAAAATCCACGTTAAACTCCACAATCTTGTCACCAGCCTTACCAGTCATTTTCATCGAATGTGTCTTAGGAGAAAGCTGTTCAAAATTTTCAATTTTTTAATAACAAATAAACCTCATGCGTTTGATTATTAAATCTGCATAAATTAAAATGAAAACATTTGCTTAGGAACTGAAGTCAGAAATGTTGATGATTCTTATTATTATTTACATTTACTAAGTAAAAAAATAAAATACATTTACCTTCGAAATATCACCTGAAATAATACCATAAAGAATCAATTTCTCTCCTTGAAATATTGGTGGGACTTCTTCTGGGGCATTGATAACAGAACAACCATCAGGTAGATCCCATGTTAAAGACACATCTGTTATTCCGCATTGTACACTGTTCTTCAACACAGACATTACCTAAATGTCATAAACCGAATGTTGTAAATTATAATAAAAGTTAAACAAGAGGCCCAGGGGCCACAGCGCTCACCTGAGCACATCGGGCTTGAATTTACTCCCCCCCCCCTTCCAGGCGTTCATCATTTGAACAAACTAGAATCTACACTACCTGAGGATGATTCCA